TTTTCAAGGCATTTCACTCCACATGCTTTTCTTGGGTCTGGTGTGGCCGTGTTTTCCTCCCCGGGCACTGGAGGGTTATCCAGAAGTGGCAATGTGCTGAGTCCACCCTTCAAGGGGGGTGGTAGTTATGCTGAGGCCTCTATGCTACATAGAAAGGGACACATCCTGACAATGGCAATTTTGATAAAATAGGTTTCCTTGGGATGTTAAGAAATCTTTTGTCAAAACAGTAAAGAATATGGGTACTTGGGAAAGTTCAAGACCCAGTCTAAGGGCCGGGGATTTAGCTCAGTGGTTCCGCTGCCTGTCTCGCAAGCGCAAGGACCCGAGTTCAATCCCCGGTACCAAAAAAAGACCCAGTCTAGCACAGTACTTCCTTTGAAATGTTCCTTTTTTTGCATCAAATTTATGGTAGCCTTAATATAAATTTTAGCTGAATTTAACATGCTTCCTTCTCAACATCTGAATTAGAGGTCCTGCAAATGGGAGTGACTTCTTGTACTGTATTTGGCTATGCATTGTCCTGGGTGTCACAGGAAGACTTAGTTGTGCTTGTGCAGATGCACCCTCCCAGCTCTCATCCTTATTTTAGTGCAAACCCTCATCAAAATGTGGCATGCCTTACTGCCTCGGTGTGAAAGGCCAGTAGAAAGTAGAAAGGCCAGAAGTGAGTGGGTGGTGGGGCAGGTTGTAGGAGGCTCTCTCTAGCTACATCTTCCTCATGAGGATTCTGCATGTTGAATGTGCTTCACTTTTGTGGATACGTGGTCAGGTGGAGAAAAAATTGTTTTTTTTCTAACATTCATTTCTTCATAGGTCATGCAGTTGCTGAGGAAGAAGCCAGAAAAGCTCACCAACTCTGGCTTTCAGTGGAGGCACTAAAATACAGCATGAAGACCTCATCAGCAGATTTGCCCACTGTCCCCTTGGGGGGTGTGGTTGAGGTCATCAGAGCTAGCTGCTCTGATAGTGAGTTTGCCCAAGCAATAACCGCAGCTATCCCTCCAGAGTCCCTGACTCGGGGGGTGTACAGTGAAGAGACCCTGAGAGCCCGTTTCTATGCTGTCCAGAAACTAGCCCGAAGGGTAGCGATGATTGATGAAACCAGAAACAGCTTGTACCAGTACTTCCTTTCCTACTTGCAGTCACTACTGCTATTCCCCACTCAGCAGCTGAAGCCACCAGCAGAACTCTACCCTGAAGATATCAACACATTTAAGTTACTCTCCTATGCCTCCTATTGCATTGAGCATGGTGACCTGGAGCTGGCAGCAAAGTTTGTCAATCAGCTGAAAGGAGAGTCTAGACGAGTGGCACAGGACTGGCTGAAGGAAGCCCGAATGACCCTAGAAACTAAACAGATAGTGGACATCCTGACAGCATACGCCAGTGCCGTAGGAATAGGAACCACACAGGTGCAGCAAGAGTAAGGTCTAGGAGAGCAGTGTAATGTCATTTATGTCAGAGGAATCAGCAGTGATATATGAAGGGTTTGCAACAAGGGTCCCAGAATTGTCTAGAAGTGAGCACGTTCCAAGCCCTGTGCTAAATGTTAATACCTGTTGCATTCACCTTCCCACTTGGTATCTTGTCAGTGAACTCCAGGAGTGCATTCTTTGCAACTTGTGTAACATATCCCATTTTTCAGGATTTACTGATCAGGCTTGTGAGCCATTGAAAATAATGTTTGTGATCCCTACTATTGATTCTGCCCTTGGAGCAAACTGAATAAAGCAACACGATGAAATCTGTGTTATCTTATCCCTTTTTAAAAAGTGCCATCTGCGCAAGCGCTAGAACCGGAGTTCAATCCCTGGTACCAAAAAAAAGTGCCATTTCTAGTTTGTTGTGTATGCAGAATCCTTGAGAAGCAGCAGAAGACCCTAGGAATCCCGGTGTTCTAAGGCTGTTAACTGGGTCAGCAGAAGTACGAGCCTTCTTGGCTTTGGTGAATTGATTCCTACTAGTCAAACTCTGAGTGATTAATGGAGCCAAAATGCCAGGGTATTTGTAATTGAGGACGTTGCATTCCAGTGGTCAGCATGAGAATATGCATGCCTCCCAAACTGGACTGCAGTCCACAGGAGCAAGTTCTTTTCTGTTGGGACCTGATATGCACACACCTATGTACATCTGCATGAAGCAGTTCTCAAACCACTGCTTGTCACTCCTACTTGCATTGCCGTTTTCTGCTATCTGGCTTGTAAATCTTCACTTGAGTGGAAGTAGGCATGGAATCCTAGGGGCTGGATTGAGTAATTTTGTGTTATTTCACATGGACTGCCCTAAGAACCTGGAGAACTTTCTCAGTTCACCTCACTGAAGACTGAGGCAACTGCCATATTGGATAAACCATAGTTCTTATCTTTTGACTTAATTTTTTACTCCCCAAAGACTACTACCTCTTAATAAAAATACTGCCAAAATTTTAAGAATTAACAATTTCTTTTTGGGGTTTATGTTCCTAAGATTAAGAAGGTACTTTTATCTGAATATCCTGTGAATCATGAGGTCACCATTTCCCTCCCTCAACTTCAGAGGTAGGTCCCTGCATGCTACAGACCTTATCCTTTTATTTTGGGATACACTGGTCTATCTTTGGCCTGACATTAATATTTCTTACATTCCTCCCCAAATACATATGGTTTCCCTGATTGAAACAGCTGCTTTGGGGGAATGCCTTAGTCTCTTCAAGGTAGTGACACCCTGGAGACCTACTAGGGAGTGAAGCTTTCATGAGACAATGGGCAGTTCTAAATTCAGTCCTCTTTGAAATAGCATGAAATTGCAGAACACATTAACTTGCAAAGCTAAATTTATAGTACAAGTGCTTGAAATTTCTATTTTACTCATAGGAAAACAAATAATAGATTATAAGGAGCTTCAGACGTGACTTAGCTCAGCCAAAGTAAGCAATCTGATTCCAGCTCTGTAGGGATAAAAATGATCACTGGATGCTGCTGCCTGCCTCGAAAGCACAAGGTACTGAGTTCAATCCCCGGTACCAAAAAACAAACAATGACCACTGGGTTTCACGTCTTAGTACAAAGCTTCCCACTCCTACTGCTCACTAGGAAATGATACAGTATTGCAAAGGGGACCTTGCTTGGCCAGTCTGGTCTATCCTTCCTTAGGCTCTATACAGCTGTCTTCCTGAGACACCTCAGTAACCACTGAAGTGAGGCCTTGCCTGGGTTCCTAGCTGTAATCCCAACAGCAAGGTTTTGGGGGAGATGGGTACAGCCCTGGGCACTGGGGCAGGCCAGCTTCATTTCAGCATGTCACACCACTGCCACTTCTGATTTAAAGGTCATATAAAACTAAGGCTTCACTTCTATCCTGCTTTCCTTGTCTCAATCTGTCTCAGCCTTAAATTAGATTATCTTCTTGCCTCCCATTCCAGATTGCTGTTGTTGGGCATGATGGCACATGCCTGCAATCCCAGCACTCAAAAGCCTGAAGCAAGAGGATGGTCTCAAGTTTGAGGCCAGCTTGAACTACACAGCAAGACTCAAAAAAAAAAAAAAAAATCACTTAACAAAAACTCTGAACTTTAGAGCTCCAGAATCCAGTTAACAAATTAAGCTTTTTGTTTTGTTTTTTAGGACAGGGTTTTGCTATGTAGTTCAGGCTGGCCTTTAACTCATGGCAATCCTGCTTTAGCCTCCCAAGTGCTGATCACAGGTACGTGCCACCACACCCGTAATTTTCGACAGTTAAGTCCCCAACTTATGAGCAAGTTCCATTCTGGGAGAACTGTTTGTAAATTGGATTCATTTGTAAGTACACTTGTGAAAGTTTGCAACTTGAATGTCTTTAAATTCAGGATTTAGTGTCTTTTAAGGCACACTTTTATGTTCTTTCGTATTAACTTAAATGCTCTGCTCTCAACAGGTTCTGGAATAAAAGCAGTCTCCCAAATCCCAAATGAGTTGTCTCACTAGTTTTAAAGTAACTTGTTTCAACTTAGTGCAGAATAGATCATTTAACATAAAAGGAAAATAAAAAGGCTTAAGGGTCAGGCAACTTTTCTAGTTGTAAGCATTTCCCCTAACCACAGGTCTGTTTCCTTTGGTTTGATGTTACCTTGGGGCAAGGAGACCACTACACCTCTTAACTTCTCAAGAAGGTGAAGTTATTTTGTGAGAGATGCTCATTATGTAGTTCTTACTGCCCTTCCACTTGCTATGTGGCCCAGACCCCTGAACTCTTGGCCCTCCTGCCTTAGGCTCCCATAGCTTGTTTTGTTGGGGGGTGCTGGAAGGGTTGGGACAGGAGCAAGTGGCAGAATTTAGGTTGTCCTGGGAATAAATTGTCATGACCTTTACGCCTCTTACATGTTCTTAGTTTTTAAGAATCTTCAGTCTCCCTGAACTCTTCTTGGGCTTGATCCCCAGTAGTCCGGAATTCTCTAATGTCCATAGCTGGGCAGGTTCAGCTTGACAGCATTTCTAATAAGCTCTGCCCTAGGTCAGGGTGAAGACCTGTTCAGTGCCCAGACTTGTACACCTTTTAATTATCTCTCGTCCTAGCACCTGTCTTAACCCAGCTAAGTCAATACACTCTTTTCTCTGGGAAAATCCCACTTAACCTTTCAAGTCTAATCTGGTTTTGTAAAACCAGTCTTATCCATCTATTTTCCAAGACTCATCTCAGTGTATTTGTTTTTCACAATTTTTTGACCACGACCAACAGTAAAGCTTACATCATGATGTGATACACTTGGGGGACATAACCATGTTCAATTTAAAAATACATCACCAATATTACAGAACTGTTATTTTTTGTTAGTTTCTCGGTACTGGACTGAACCCTGCACCTTGCACTAGGTGTTAATTCCCATGCCTTTTTATTTTCAGATAGGATCTTGGTCAGGTTACTAAAGCTGGCCTTACATTTGCAATCCTGCTTCAGTCTCCCGAGTAGCTGGGATTACAGGCGTATACCACTGTGTCCGGCTTGTACTTGAATTTTCTGATCCATTTCCTTAAAAATCCTGGTCACTGCCATCAAAAATCACTTTATTTTATAGAATATGGGTACAGAACCAGTGACAACACATCCGTAACATTTTCCCCAAGCCCAGTACTTCATGTAGTGTCTAAATTGCATCTCAGGACACCAGGCAAGTCAGGTTTTAAGCCTCTACAAAGGTTGAAGCATGTATTAAATCCATTCAGCATTTATCAATACCTAAGTGCTAGATTTGAGTTTAATTCTAAGTCCATTTGAGGTTGTTTGATCCTGGTGAGTTTTTTGCTTGAATACTTCAATACAACTGTAATAAGACATTTTATTGTTAAGAGTTCTTGATGTTCTGCTGAAATGTTGTGTAGCTTAAAACTTCACACACTGGTAACTGAAATCTGAGGGAATCTAGAAGTTTATTCCAAATATATTAAGAATCTTCCCTCTCCCCTTCCCATTCTAAAGAAGTCTTTATTTCCATTTGCTATCACAAAAAGCCACTTAGAAAGTTTCATTATCTACAGTCCACACTTTGTAGGTGACCACCTCCCCCCCCCCTTTTTTGCAGTACTGGGGATTGTACTTTTGCACTGAAATACATTCCCAGCCTCTTTTTCCGAGACAGGGTCCCTGACCAGGCTCAAATGTAAAACCCTTCTGCCTCCTAGAGTGCTGAGATTATAGGTGTATATCACCATGCCCACCTTATAGAGCTGTAGACTATTTCAGAATTAAACATTAAAAAAAAATAATGGAAGCCGGGCATGGTGGTGCATACCTGTAATCCTTGCACTTGGGAGGCTGAGGCAGGATTGCCATGAGTTCAAGGCCAGCCTGAACTACGTAGTGAAGCCCTGTCTCAAAAAAGGAAATACAGGGCTGGGGAATTAGCTCAGTGGTGCCACTGCCTGCCTTGCAAGTGCAGGTCCAGAGTTCGATCCCCGGTACCAAAGCAAAAAAAAAAAAAAAAAGGAAATACACATATGTATTAATTACGTTTACTTATAGTCTTCATTTTACCAGCTGTGCAGCCTAAAGCTGCCATTATCTTGTTTAATCAATTCTAAAATGCATAATTACATCTACATATTCTTCAAGTTGGGACACTATTGATCAAACAGCAACTGTGATGTAATTCAAGAAAACTTTTTTTTCTTTTTCTGGTACTGGGGATCAAACTCAGGACCTTGTGCTAGTGAGGTCAGCGCAGCACCACTGAGCTAAATCCCCAGCCCAAGAAAACCTTTCAAGATCACAGAAGCAACAGCAGCATTTATGCCAGAAAAGGCTGGTAAGCAACAGCATGCCGATGCTGACAGTGTGAGCACCCTTTGTGTGTGCGGGGCTTATCCACTGACAAAAGCCATGGACCTCATGATGTGCACTTGTGGCGTAAGAGATGAAATGGCAGTGCTGCTGCTTAAATGGGACCTCTTGAGTGATGCTCTGATAGATGGATTAGTAACCAGTAAATTCGCTTGATCTAACATCAGCGTTGTGTCCACTATTTTATAGTACCAAATTCATAGTACCAATGCATTCTCTTTTCTTCATATTGGACTGAATATTTCATTTGCCGTCACTGTCACTGTCATTATCACTGCTGCTGTCACCATCCAATGCAGTTAGGGTGCCCAGGGCTTCCCTGTAAGGAAAAGTAACTGGAGGGTACACTACAGCTTGTCATGAGCTTGGTGCTTGGTGTCTCAGACACTCACTGGATAATCTTATCAGGCTGCACTCACCTACGTTAAGGACAAAGGAAGAGCTAACAACAGCCCCATCTTTGGGCATCCGACTCATATGACAATGAAGTAATTATTAAATCAGTAAACTACTACATCCTTTTTTGTAAGGGAAGAATGGAATACAGGTGGGAGAGAGAGAGAGAGACTGCCATCTGACTGGAAGAAAGACAAGCCCTGCTCCTTCACGGTGAAGACTCAAGCCCCACTTACTTTTGTTCTGGGTCCATTTCAAATTCCGTCACTGCTCTCTGTATGAGACTCTCACAAACAGGCAAGCTGAAGGCGCTAGCCAGCTTCACAACCTCAATGGCCTTGGCAGGACTGTTGCATACTTTTGCACTGTCCATAAATTCACTCAGCAGTTCACTTCTGTTTTTTGAAAAAGGCAAAATATGAAGTTTCCAACTGAAACCCTTCAGTCAAAGGCTTACACGAAAAATTCAGACTAAGTTTACTAACAAAACCCTGATATAGCTTTGGAGTCAAGTTACAAGAAGTCTCAAGGCCCAAGGAGAAACTGAGTATTAGTTGAATATACCTTCACCGAGAATGTACTCAACACATTCCCAGTGTGTCACGATCACTGAACACAGGTAAAAAAACTGCTTGCCTCAGGATGCCCAGGATGGGAGACTGATTTGGTTCCTAAACATAGCACCCAAATGCAGTGGCTGAGGTATGTGAACAAAATGCAATCGCAAGAGCCAGCCCGTCTAATTTCAGCCTGTACCAGGTGAGGCCTATTAACTAACTTACCTGGGAATTTTATTATGCTTCCTGAAAAGTTCCAACATCTTCCTGTGCAAGAGGAGATAAAAGAGTGACTATAAATACTGAGCAACACAAGAGCAAAATGAGGAAGGCCATCAGATGAAGCTCTTCTCCCTGGGTTCAGAGACTCAACACCCTTTTCACACTGTAATCTCCTAAGTAAGTTCATCTGTGTGCTCCACTGGCTCCTAGCCCTGCCTGTACATCATAGTCAGCTTAGGGGCTTAACCCCACCCTCAACTCCACACATCAACATTAGATGTCAGTGTTGAGAACTGGAGAGAACACACCTACATCCTTTGCAGCTGAAGAGAGGCACGAGGCAGGAGGCACACACAGCCTGGCCTCCCCTCCTATACCATGGCATGGGTCTGTCCTAAAACTCTGTTATAAAGAGCAGGCTCAGATCGAGGCAAGTCTCATGTAAGTGCACGCCATCAACCTGCCACATGCAGGACAAAGGCGGAACACATACATTCAGCTCCCATGATTCAGCTGAGGTCCGTACCCCTGCGCCAATCATCACAGCCTGGTTCACAGCAAGTGTGCTAACCTGCCTGAGCTAAGCGGCACATGCAAATGCCAGCTTTGTCACTACAGCGAAGGTGCTAGCAGGTCATGTGTGTTGAATGAGCCATGCTTCTAAAAGAAGTTGTAGCATTTTTACCTGGAGATAGTTTAACAGCCACATTTTAGACTGGTAATCAGATATTCAAGTTGTGCACAATGCACCCTAAACCCCCAGAACACACATTTACACCCAACACAAACTAAAGTAGAAGTGTGACTACCCCTACGAAGTATCCTTTTGTTGACTTCTCACTTTTGGAAAATAAATATGCATAAGGTTCCCATTTATAACTAATCTCAGAAAGGATGTGAGTAAAGTGCTGATGAAAACATTACCACAGAATGGCATAAACCCAAAATGGATTCTAGTCAAGGCTGTGTTTAGTAAATGCTAGTTTCCAAGTAGTCCAAGTACACACCCATTTTATGTGAGGGAGTGGGGAGTGGGAGGAGCACTCAAATAACAACCCAGTGACCAAAAAATTAAAGAAAAAATTTTTTGGCCAATTTATTCCATTTACATGGGCTGACAAGTGAAGTTAAGTGACTTACTTGCTCACGGACTGAAAATAGGTAAAAAATGGAAAGACAATACTCAGCTCACCTAAACCATGCATGCCCTCTTAAATACTATATATTACGCACAGTGCTCTTCTTCCAAAAATTTGCTTTTTAGCTAGTATTTTGCAAGTTCCCACTGCAAATTAACTATGCATTCTAGTTGGCTCTTGGTAAATGATGCATCATGCAGCCAAATTAGAGAATCAGGTAAATGTCCTAGACTCAAGTAGAAATGCTACTACCTTGTACTCATAGTCTGTACTCACCAGGCTTCCTGGGCTCTCTCAGCCCTTAAGAAGAGGGCAGCTATACAGTTGAGAACACTGGCTGGCCAACTGGGAGCAGGTTTGGCTTCATAAGTAGATTTGATGTCAGCAGCACAATCAGCAAACGCCATCTGAAGCTGAGAAGCTCTAAGAGTCAGCAGAACTGCTGAGCTGGTGTGATGGTAATTTAAGTTCACAAAATAACATTTTACCATGTGAATATATCATGTATATGGCACATAAATAATACAGTAAAAAGAACAAAGGGCCCTGTACTGGGATAATTTGATTAGACAAATCTATCAAATTCAACTATGAGTTTTCTTTTTATATGCGAACTTTTAAAAAACCAAGCTCTGTTCAGCATAGGGAGAAGCTATTTTCCTGCAGCTTGAACTAGAGGAAACAGAGTGACTTTAGGACTAGCATTCTGCTAACACCAAGATGTTTAGATGTATCATAACCTAAATCTGGGTTTGGGAGGTACTCTCCACAATGACAGATGAAACCAGAGATACTACCCTATAAGAGAACCTCGGTGTTAGAGGATTTACTGATGAGTACAAATCTAATATTGATAATGAAACTTGAGTTTCAAGACAGTCCTACCTGTGGTGGGTGTTTATCCCTGGCCATGAGCATCAGGATTTCTTCTTTTAGCTCACTGCGAAATGTGTGACCGTATTCTTTACTATCTTAAGACAAAAAGAATCATAAGGACGATCACCAAAATGCTGAAATTTTTGGCATTGTTCAATGTTAGTTGTTAACCTCATTGTTTTGGTGCATTAAAAAAAAAAGCTGCTGATATTTTCTGTTTTGAGTTTATCCTACGATTCCAGAAAACCAAGAGGATGATTAACGGTGCAAACAAAGAGTAGTGAAAGCTCTCATTTCCAGTCAAGTGTTATGCACTACATTTGGGTAGCCCCCAGCTCCATTTACATCATTTGGAAACTTCAGTGTTCTCTTACATACAGACATTAGAGCAGTCTTGTGCAATGGCAGGACAGGACTGCAGTCCCAGTTTCATGGAAATAGAGCCAGCTAGAAGTGGACTTTGTAATACAGTAATCACATAATAGAGATACAGATCTGTGTTTCATCTTGCAACCTATTTATACACACAGATCAGACCAAAACACATCCATGCCATGGCTGTTACTGAGAAACATGGTTATCACAGATCCAAAATGATCCAACAGAGTAAAGAGGAGCAGCCAGGGCTTTAAGGTCACCAACCTGCACTCAGATTTAGAGTCTGCCACATAAGTAGCACTAATCTTCCCTGTGGCACATTACAGAAGAGTTGCACAAAACCGAACTTATTCAAATGTCACAAAGGGATAAATAGGTCATTTTCAACAAAGTTTTACTCATGTAATCCTATATGTGACATAAGCAAGTGGTGAAAGGGACCTCAACCCAGCCTAAGATGGAAGTTTTATCCCTAACAATAATGTTAACATGTTAATTAATCTATAGGATACTGAAGAAACCCAGGCCTAACACTAACCTTTCCAAATCTGAGGAATCATTTCTAGACGGTTGGCCACATCTAAAGAATGGAGGAGAGCCATCACTACTTGGGAATGGGGAAAGAACACCTGATTAGGAGATACACAAATACAATTTTAAATCATTAGTCAGCAAAGATACCTACAAATTCCTATACAATGATAAATGATAAGTCATGAACCAGCTTACCGAAGGTATCAGGTCTTTATACCACTTTAAGGTGGTATCAATTTGTTCCATTAGACAAAGCAAACTGAAAAACCTGGAACTGTGACAGAGAAAAAAAGCATGTTTAATCTAACATCTCTATTATCTAAAAACAAAGATTCAGTGGATTAGTGAAATTGTATATATTAATATTTACAAACAATTTCAAGTTTCAAGGCCAGTGCTTGACCCAATAGACGGCTCCTGAACTGGTCATTTACGACTGACTCCTCAGTGTGCTCTCAGGTCCTGGCAAGAAGGTACTGAGTATCACAAGCATGTTAAAAGCATTCAATGTGAAGCAAGGATGTGGACACATGGAAAACAACTCTCACACACTGATTCACACACAGGGTGACTCCTTAAATTCATGTTTTTATCTGCCTAAAAGCAAATCCACTTATGGAACTTTCTGGGCGCCAGTATACTTATTTTTAAATACTTTTTAAAAAGCAGGGATTGGAAAAAGTTCTTCAGGTATTCTCCTTGCTATAATAATTTGAAAATATATAAAGGCCATAGGAAAAAAAAGATACATGGATTTTTAAAGAGTTACAAAGAAAAAACTCTGGAAGCATACACACTACCAGATTCAGCATGTTACAAATGCTTTACTTTCTAAGTGCTCACTTATTAAATAACAGGCATGCTTCTTGAAACCAGGGATGAGACAGGGAGAACCACCAAAAGCTTCCCACTTGCAGACTTTACTAACAACAAAAGGATACTTTTCCAAGCACACTTACTAATAGAAATTACGCTGAAGATCAGATCCAATGAATTTCCAGTTGTCTCCCGTGTTTAACAGGCCATGTACTTGGTAAGCAAGGTCTAGATCTTTGAGGGATGAGCACTGCAAATTTGCAAGTAGTATTACTCTGACATTCTTAGAAGCCAATCACTGGCTCATTACATTAAGAAAAAAGTACGGTTTCTTGGGAAATACTTATATTGATTTAATTTATTGTTCGACAGCAAATAAGTTTTAATTACAGAAAAAAATTGTAAGTTTTGGAAAATTTACAACAAAATTGTTGTGACCTAACACTACACTACACCTTTACAAATAAATCCTACAAAAAAACAACACACAGTGTGCTCACAGGCCAGCATCACATTAACCCCATGAAATAGCTTCAAAAAAATCACCTACAGAATAGTTCTTCCCTCCTGTAAAACAATTATGTCACCATTGAAGTTTGTCTGACTCTGTATACTTTTTAGTACAGAAAGGAAAAAACTGGAGAATATACCCAGAACTGCAAAGCAATTATCTTTCTGATGCAAAATACACTTTATTCATCCTGAAACTGCATGACACTTTTCTTATAAAATTAAAAGCTAAACTCAAAATCAATTTTTATCAATTAAAAAAGTTAACTAGCTGGGCAGGGTGGTGCTGCACACTTCTAATCCCAGCACTTGGGAAGCTGAGACAGGAGAATAATGAGTTTAAGGTCAACCTGGACTATATACTAACATTTTATCTTTAAAATATTAAAATTTAAAAAGTTAACAGGCAAATATGCAGTATTTCAGCTTATTGAACAGGCATGAAAAAAGGCAATGCTTATAATAAATACAGGGTAGGAATGTCACATAATTTACAAGCAGATTTTAGAGAAAGAAAAATAGAAGACATGAACAAAAGTTAAGAGGTAGGAAGAGAACCTTCTAATTATAGTTAAATTCAGAAAATGGAAAGTAATCATCTTTAAAATCAGGACTACGAAGTTAAACGAAAAATGGTACTTACAGCATTCATAGCCGTCTGAAAAAACTTATCTGGAAGTCAAAGTTCACAAGAGTTTTTGTTATTAAGAATGAAATGTTTTCAAGTAAATTAATAAAATCCTGCAAACAAAATAGGTCACTTGTTTTTAAAAACAAGAAATAAAGCTGAAGAAATAAAAACAAGAAGAGACAAAACCTTTGTCTTCCACACAACAATCACCCAAAAGATTACTAAGATAATTAAACCTTTCCCTCATCACAAGCCCTCTAATAGCTGGCACTCAGGCAAATGGCTTTGTCTTTTAATGGGAAAAACACCAGCAATTTCTGTACATACCATCATCTAGATCCACTGGAGAAAATTTCTTTCCCACTAATTCATCCATTATACTGTAGATGATGAAAGAGGGTTCCTTTAAAGAGCTTCCTGCAGAATAAAAAGAGAATGATTTTATCAAGGGTTCACTTCTTGCATCCCTACCAAATTCACAACACCTAGTGAAACATACCTCCCGAGCCTAATGGCTGGCAGAAAGCTAAGCAGGGGTAACACTTATTAGAGGAAATACTGCACCCCACAGAGTACAATTCTAAGAGCTTGAACAGTCACAGGTCTCTGTCCATGTACCCAATCAGACTCCTCCTTAGTCTCTTCATGAGAACCCTGACTTTCACCGGAGTAGGGGCAAACGCCAGCACATACAGCCCTCAACAAACCAATACACTTAGAAAAACATGTTATTTGCTAGCAGTCATCTGTTTTCCTTTATAATCAGATGAGAAGACCAAGAAAAAGGAAACTGTAGAAGAGTTCTTCAAAAAGATCAAATGAGCTGAGTACTAACAGGTCAAGAAAATCACCTATAGTATGTCCAGTCAAATACTTTTCAACTTCCTTTCCCTGTCTTTTTCTACACCTTAGTCATAATACATTTGTAATAATTGCAGATTTCTTGTTATAATTTCCTGAAGCCCGTATACATTTGTTAACATTCCTATTTTATTAGATTCATTTAATTCTATTTTATGTGCATTTATTATTGTAGGCTTTCTCCTTTGGGTAAATTTTAGAAATTGTCATTGCAGACAGCCAAGTGATATAGAGAAACTACTTCTCTGCTTCCCTGCAACCATAGTCATGGCTGCTACTTAGGATACATACATTGCCCTGACTTTGGTAACAACTAAACCAAAGTCGTAACATGATGGCACCGAGGAAAGCAACACACTCTGTGCTCAGAAATACTAGCATGGCTACAATCTCATCATGTTTGAGTGAAGATTCACAGGATATTAATTAGCATGGAAACCATTTACCTATCATCAAGATAGTCAATTCTCTGTTGGACTGTTTTTCTTCATAAAACAAAATAAATTTGACTATAGGTAAAGGTATGGACCTTGCAAAATTAGTGCTCTAAACCAGAGATAGGGTTCCTTACTATTGTTTTTATACAATCTATCACAGGAAGGAATAACAAGTACTGTATCACTAGGGTTTTTTTCCTCTTGCTGGGAGCAAATAAGATTAAATGTCTACTATTTTTTTTTTTTTTTTTGGTACCGGGGATCGAACTTGGGTCCTTGCGCTTGCGCAGCAGGTGGCGAAACTACTGAGCTAAATCCCTGGCCCTAAGTGTCTACTATTGCACATGCCTTCCCAGAACGGCACAGGACACTGCATAATTCATTTCATCACCAAACCCATCTAGTCTCTTTTAATATAACTTCTAATGTGTAGAGTTGAAATGTCAACTCAGATGTGCCTGGCTCCAAAGTCCACAACTCCCACAGGAACTAACTGACCTATAAATAGGTGACAAACGGAGTCTGAAGTCCCCCAGAGGCTTCAAACTTTTCTCTGGACCAACACCGTCCACTACCTTTCTACAAAGATTGAAATGTCCTATATCTGCACTGTTCAATATATATCCAGTAGACACACAGCGATGCTGGGCCCTAATTCCACTAAGTGTTTTTATTTTACTCAATCAGCCACACATTTTTAGTGACTATTATATGCACAGCAGAGCTTGGGAGACCAAAACGAACTACAAACTAAAATAACTGTACATTCTTCTTTATCAAACAATGCCAGCACATTCGATAACCCTCTCCTCTACAGCTCAAGTTTTGCATTACATTTGCATCACAAACAGGGTCACCACCCTCAAGAATAACTTTTTGCTCAGGTTATAAATGTTACTTGTGATTTTCCCATTAATTCAGATGCAGACAAAATAACCCGCAACAATCATACAAACTCAGGAAGATGGTCAATTTTCTACAAAAATTAAAATAATGTAAAATAAATTAAAATGATACTTACCATGTTGATAAAACACCTGAATAAGATGATGATATGTTGCAAGCGAGGGTTCTCAAATCACCAGGCAGGAAAAAAAAATAATAAAGTAAAATTATAGCTATCCAAACTTCAGCTTTCTGAGGCACACTGAACTATAAAATATATTAATGCTCATATTTAAGCAAATGATGTATTTCTATTTTTTGATATTTTGAAGCACATCTTGTTAATGTAAATTAATGTAAATAACTATGAGTATATGATTCTTCATTAAGATTAAAGCAAAATAAAGTGAACTGATTTCCAAGCAATATTCTTATAAAAGTACTGAAATAAGACACACATTTGGGTTGAAACAGTTATGCTAGAGAAATATCATGGAATTTAAAATCATCTAACTGAAAGGGATCGATTCTCTTCAGAATCAGGATCTATGAAAAGTACATAAAATACTAAAATAACATTGTAATTTTCTGTAAAGAACATGAAGATGATACAGGTGCTCCCATGATAGTACAACTGTCCCCTGGCATCTAGGAATTCTCACGTTTTTTAAATAAAGTGGCATATAACTCATGTCTCACATACTTAAAATCATCTCTAGATGACCTGTAATATCTAATACAAACGGTATGTAAATAGCTGGCATACGATATTGTTCAGAAACAGACAAAAATTGTGTTTCCCAAATACTTCTGCTCCGTGACTGATTGAATCTGTGGACACAAGGGCCAAATGCACATGTAACTAAGTGTGCCAAATAGCGGATAGGAAATTACCAACATATTGCAGTATGTACACAGCAAAAGTCACATCTTCAGTGCTTATGTAGCCCTGAAACTTCTGGTCAGCAGTCTCGTCTTCAACAAGGACTCTAGGGTGCACTCTTACCTATTCCAATGGCTTTCATTTCACGTAAGGTTTCTAAGGCTGGCAATTTTCCAAATGCATGAAATCTTCGCAGACATTTTAGAATGGTATTAAAAGTCTGTAGATTTGGATTCACCTTCTGTGCAACCATGTGTTTCAGCAGACCCTAGGTGAATCAAAAGCAAGAAATAAATTTTATTCCTTGGTATTCCTTGATTTGCCAAAACTTTATTTCATGTAAAAGAAGAATTTAGCTTTCTAGCTATGTTTGAAGTAGGTTGATAACTACAGTATATCCTAATTTATAACTGTCTGCTAATTAGGACCAGTGATTCTGCCTTTCAGAGAAGCCTTCTAAGTCATCCACACCACTTGATTAAGGTGTCTGTCTTCAGTCTTCAATCTATTTTACAAAGAAGGAAAAAAATAAAATGCAAAAGACTAAAGTAGTATGGTGTAAAAACATACTTATATCCCTAAGTTACTAGACAAGAATCAATCTAGTGATTTCAATTTAACTTACCTGACAGAAATTTGTAACAAAAAAACCCATTATGCAAAATGAACAAAGTAACCCAGCTGTTCTTGAATTCTACCTGTAGAATTTAAGTCAAGTAACTTGTTCTTCTCAGGTGTCAGGCACAGCTACTTAACTTACAGGGTTGACCAAAGGTCAGTTAGCAGGTAACTGCTATCTGAGAGCAGTGACTGCCATACAGGTATTCAATGAATGCTGTCTCCATCCCACATAAAGGAGAGTTAAAGTCTATCTGAAGACAAATGAGGATTCCTCCTTACCAGCATATTATTCCACCTCTCCTCACATTTCTCATTCACTATCGATGCTGTTGCTTCAATCAATGCATTGAAAGTGTGTACATCAGCTGTAAAAGAAAAGACAAAATGTGGGCCAATGATTGAGGCAGAAAGTTTCATATAAACTCTTGAGAAAAGGAAAGAGAAAGTGCGATAAAAGGGATGTCTCAAACTTACCACGGAGTCTGTTGTTTAACAACTCGGTGTACATATTTAGTGCCTGTCCATTAGCTTGATGCTGAAGAGGGGAAGGAAAAGCCAATCATCACCGAATTCATTCATTACAGAAATGTCCACATTATCTACTGTTCCAGGGATGGGAATATAGCAGCAAACAAAATAGACTAGGCCCCCATTCTCAGAAACTTATATTCTGATGCAGGGGTTGTCTATCCAGGAAGCACTGGGTGATATAAGTGAAGATATCTGTAGTGGTCACAACTGACGGAGAGGGAGGAGTGTATTATTCACATTCAATGGCGAGAGGCCAGCAAGCCACTAAAACATTCTAAAATGCACAGGCCAATCCCCCAACAAATCATAAGATACAACACATTTATAAAGATCGGGCATTCCAAATCTAAAAATTGAAATGGTATGAACTTTGAAACTTAGCAATGATACAAGCTGCCAAGTGGAAAACTCCACACTTGCCCTCATGTGACAGGTCACAGACAAAGCAAAGGTGCAAAAACATTGTATAAAATTATGTTTGTGGCCGGGGATTTAGCTCAGTGGTTCTGCCGCCTGCCTCACAAGGGCAAGGACCTAGGTTCGATCCTCAATACCACAAAAACAAAAAAAAATTTGTGCTATGTGTATAACGTATATGAAATTTAAACGTGTCTTGTGTTTAAACTTGGTGTCATTGCCTACACATCTTATTATGTATATGCAAATACCCCAAATCTGAAACACTACTTCTGGTTCCAAGCATTTTGGTAAGGGGCACTCAACCTGTAGCTGTGAGGTTGAAAAACCCTGACTTAGTGAGCCTTCAACAAAATAGTAAGTAAAACAAGTGTACCTTCACCATTCCCCGGATCATTGTGCAGTAGGAATGTTCGTTCTTCTCTGGCATTAGAGCAAAGATTCGTTCTGCATTGTTATTTGTCCTAGGTATTAACAGAATAAATATGAACCAGGGAAACAGGAAAAACCAATAATAGCCACCACCATTACTGACATTTTTTCAATACTCCTGGCTATGTGTCAAGCACTTTAGGCACATAATCTCAAATAATTCTTACTGTCCAGAGAGGGATATATGATTATCATCTTGAAAATGGGAAAAATCAAGGCTAAAAGACTTTAAGTTGCCAGCAGTACTGCAGACAGGAGACATAACCAGGATGGAAATGAAATGTTTATGAACAAGCAATAAATTCTCATGTAAAGGAATAACAAAAAGCAAACTGTACATTAACCCTCAGACAGAACTCCCCAGAGGCAACCGCTAAAAATGGTTCCTTCTGAATCCCTTCTGTCATATTCTAGCCTAAGTACACATCTCTTTTCCTATTACAAAAAACAGCCAAAATTCTTCTCCAAAGTCCATGCATGCTCTTAGCTACTATTCAAAAGTACTAAAATCAACCACGATATGTAATCTACCCTCCCATGACACTCAACAGTAGCTTTCCTTCTCTAAATGTACACCTGAAATATTTTTCTACTATTTAGACACTACTAAGTTAAATTCTCAGTGTATTTAAATGTTATTCACCTTTGTTTTGCTTGCTCGTCAAGTCTTTTTGTTTTTTCAGTGCTGGTGACTGAACCCAGGGCCTCCTGCACACTAGGTTAACCCTCTCCCAATTGAGCTATATCCCTAGCACTAGTCAAGTCTGAATTTGGCACCATTCTAGTGTCTGTGAATTTTTAACAAACAAAACTATCAAAATTTCAGAATTAAGGGTATATATTTCAAGGTAGCACTACTGATCAAACTATCAAAGGTCATTCCATATGAAGGATATGACTAGTTAAGTAGGGAAAAACAAAACAAGTGTCAACCCTAAAAAAGATTTTTGTACTGGTGGCTGAAGGTAAAAGACCTTATGACAAAAGGTCCAAATCATATAAATATAATGAAATTTGCTGGGTGTGGTGGTACAAACCTATAATCACAGCACTCAGGAGGCTGAGGCAGGAGTATCACCTCAAGTTTGAGGCCAGCCTGGGCTACATAGTGAGTTCAAAGGAAGCCTGAACTTCAAAGAGAGATCCTGTCTCCAAAGATAGAAAAAAAAAAGTACAATAAAAGTAAACTATTTTTTTGTTTGTTTGTTTTCAGAGACAGTTTCACAATGTATTCCAGGCTGGCCTCTTAACTTGCTGCAACCCCTGTGCCTCAGCCCTGAGTGCCAGTATGCAGGCATGCCCACTGTGCCTGGCTAGCAAATTCTAGACAAATTCACAAGATCACACCTTCTTCAGGGGATCGTGGGGCATATTCCACACACTGTACAAAAACCATAATACAAAGCTCTAATTATGTGTAACTTACTTCCAAGTAGTGGACAACTGATGAACAGTCTTCCCCGTAGATTTTTCATTATTTTCCTCTGTGGCCTCTTCCTGGATTATCACGAGAAACAAAAGAGAAGACAATGAAATGCATTCTCCTAGTCAGACTACTTAAAATTACAAAGGGAAAGAAAACTCAGAAAAACAAGCTAAGACTTTTTCTTTTAAAAGACTAAACTTCGCCCTTTTATTTCCAAGCCAGGCTCTGGGATAAGGCCACCCAGAGGCATGGCTGGCACTGCAGAGACCAGCCCTGGCTCCTGTCCTCTGCCTCAGGTGATGCGGCCAGAGAGACAGAGGGACAGCCAGGACAGGCTTTAGGAGATGCTCTGGAAAGCAAGGTAACTTACAACCCATTGCATATGCACCTTAGAAGACTTAAGTTACTCTGCATATAAATGATTCCTACTAGTGCAGAACAAACTAGCAAGAAAAGTGTCAATAATCCTATCATCTACAAAGAATTTTTTTTAGCAGCATAGGGCAAGGCCCTTCACACTGAACTATAACCCCAGCCTCTTTTTATTTTGAGACAGGATGGCTAAGTTGCCAAATTGCCCAGGCTGACCTTGAACTTGCAATCCCTCTGCCTCAGCCTCCCAGAGTGCAGAGATTTTTCATGTGTCACCATGCCTAAGAAATACTTTTTTTTTTTTTTGGTACTGGGGATTGAACTTGGGTCCTTGCACTTGTGCAGCAGGCGGCGAAACCACTGAGCTAAATCCCCAGCCCAAGAAATACTTTTAATGCCTATTTTCTTATGCATATAAAAAAAAAAAGTGCATATATACATATAGGTTGTATACCTTATCTGAAATGAGTGTTTCAGACTTAAAATTTTGGAATATGTCCACATATATGTGATATCTTTGGAATGAGACTCAAGTTAAAACATGAAACTCATGTTTCATACAACCCTAGGACACATGACTTAACTTTATATAGTATATTTAGCGTGCCTGAGTTTTGATGGCAAACAGTCACATGAGGTCAAGTGTGGAATTTTCTACTAGTGGTGCTCAAAAAGTTTGAGTAGTTCAGCAATTTGGCTTCAAAAATTTTTATTAGAGATTTCAGATTAATGATGTTCAACCTGTGTATTGTACAGATTGTTTCCCACTTAGACAATGAATATTTCTATATTTGCAAACTTTTTTTTTTTTTTTTGGCACCAGGGATCGAACTTGGGACCTTGTACTTGTGAGGCAAGCGGCAGAACCACTGAGCTAAATCCCCAGTCGAATATTTCTATATTTGAACAGATATGTACCTAGTGTTCTCAATGGCTACTCAATCCTCTTACCATAATTTGATCATCCACTATTGGACATTTACATTGTTTTCAGTATCTTTGCAATTACAAGTATAAGTTCCATATTACAAAAAATGTCATATATATCTGTTCACCTAACTCAAAGGTTTCCCCAAAATGTATCCTATAAATGAATTTGAGTTTTGAGACACAGGATATGACTCGACCAACAGGTAGCCTATGGCACAGTTTCTCTAGCCTGGTGTGCCCCGACCTTCCTATATACTTGTACGTATGAATTTTTGAAGAGGTTCAGCCACAGAGTCTTTTTGTGAAGTACCATTATAATCACGCTGTCACCATGACAGAAGGGTTGGTCCAAACAGTTCTGGTCAAAGTTTTGCATGAATATGTGGCAGGTGAGGACAAAATATTCTAAGCCGGAGAGTAGGGTTAAAATAATTGTTTGAAACTCTCGTTTTCTCCAGCATGACTTTTTATCTGGCTATTGTACCAAATCTCAATACAGCCAGCTTACTGCTACACTAACGTATGGCATAGAAACATGTTCTAGTTTGAGGAAGTATTACTTAAACTAAAAAAAAAAAAGCCAAAAGCTATTACCAATTCTTCTGACTGTTCAGTCGGTTGAAAATGATATTTAGCTGGTGGCTCCTGATCACCATAGTAACACAATAAATCCAAGAGACTATTAGTTGTTTCAAGAGAGACAGTGGTTCCTGTGGGTAGAAGAAAAGAAAGAAACGTCAAACTGATAAGAACTAAAGCCTTTTAAATTAAAATTTTTCACTTTTTCTATTAGCAGTGGCATTTTTGGCTACATACTTAACATCATTTACCACTTTATCAATTAATGACTATGCACTCAACACAGACCCAAATACAAGAATGATAAGGACAAGGACAAACCTTCAACTACCAGTGTAGTTTGACAGAAAATATTAAAATATAAGATGAGGTTTGACCTTGTGCTCATTTTTCTTAGGTACTCCTACCCTTAGAGAAACAACCTCATAGTTGTAATTATCAATTCCAAAATGACTATTCTGGAAACTATTTCCACTTAGTTCCCCTGCTAGATCACGTGAACATGAATAATTTTCCACTTGGATCCAGAACCCACTAAAATCTTGCTTAAAAACAGTAGCATAGTAGCCTTTAAAAACTATTATTCTCTTAAAGCCACAGCACTGAAAAAACCAAAACAAACAACAATAAAAAAATTGTTGTTTAAAACACGCTCTGGTTAGGGGTGGTGGTACATGCCTGTAATCATACCACCCAGGAGACTGAGACAGGAGGATTGCTGTGAATTCAAGGCCAGCCTGGGCTACATAGCGAGACCCTATCTCAAAAAACCATGCTCCCACCTTGGCACTCATTAAAAGAAAATGGTAGGACCTAATTTTAAGACCTCCTCTAAAGCTACAGTAATCAAGGCAGTGTTGGTGTAAGGAAAGACATATAGATCATTGGAATAAAACAGAATCTAGAAACAGAACCACACATATATGGTCCACTGAGTTTTGAAAGATTATTTTTTTGTTTGTTTTTGTGGTTTTTTTGGGAAAGATTTAACATTAGCATTTTATAGAATATAAAACTCAATTCAAGAGCCGAGGAAAAGATGTTTTCAGCAAATGGCACTAGAATGGTATCCGTATATAAAAAATTAACCTCAACCCTTTATTTCCATACATAAAAATAACTTGAAAGGATCTATGAATCTAAATATGAAAGACTAAAACTACAAAACTTTCTTAGTATTTTCTCTGCAGATGATCATTTCATCTATATATAAAGATTTTACTTCTACCTTGCCAATCCTATCCTAATTGTGTCATTTTATTGCCAGACTATTTTGGTTTAGGCCTAGGTTTCAAAGTTTAATGGACAGATGAAGAGTAGGCATATCTGCTCTTGTTCCCCACCTTAGGGAGAAAGCACTGAATCTTCTCTATTCATATAAGGCGTTTTTGCTAGAAGTATGGAGTACATGTCTTTAATCTGTTGAGAAGGCTCTATTCTACTTCTAGTCTCCTGACAGCTTTTAGCATGAACAGGTGTAGAATTTAGTCCAATACTTTTTCTCCAACTAGTGACAGGATCATATGGCTTTCTGCTTTCCTCTGTTAAAATGATGATTTTTGGGGGTGGATCTTTCAATGCTGAACCAACACTGCCATCCCTATAATAAAACCACTTTCTACATACTGCCATATCTGACTTCTAATAGTTTGTTAAACAAATTTCTATCTATGTTCATACTTTTTTCTTCTATTATCTTTATCCAGTTTTAGGATTAGCACAATGTTGATTTCATAAAATTAGGGGAGAAGTGTTCCTTTTGTTTTGCTGCTTTAAATGTTTGATATAATTTATCAGTTAAAATGTATACAAGCCTGTTGTTGTCAAATAGGTAGGTTTCCAAGCTAGGAATATACTTTCTTTAATAGGTGATATTCAAATTTTATATTTCCTCCAGAGTTAGTTTCATTAATTTGTCTTCCAAGGTACTTCTTAGAAGTTTTCAAATTTCAAAACAGATTTTTGTAATATGCTTTCTGTATTCTTTTAAATTCTGTAAAATCTGTGGTAATATCTCCTAGATCTTGATATTGTAATTTTTAAAATGTATAACTGATATTGTGTGATAGGAAGTAAAGGTCTAAAGGAGCAGGGGAAGTGGGAGGGGTAGGGGAAAGGAAAGAAGGGAAAAGAAAAAATATGAGAAAAGGAAAAAAATGGAAACAAAGTCTTTGCAAATAGGGAAGGGCGGAGGGGGTGAAGGGAGGGCAGGAGAAGGGGAAAACAATAAGAACCAAAATACTCATGTAATGGTACAAGATCCCAATGATGTATGTAACTGTATTTTATACCTAAAATGTACAGATAAACTTAATGGGGAAAAAATAAATTAATTAAAAAAAAAAGAAAAAGAAAAGGGTAGGGAAGAGAGAAGTTATGAGATAAAATTTACTATTTTAAGAGAATCAACTGAGTCTTCCTCACAAAATACAGATAGAAAAAGTGCTCATCAAAACTTAAAAGCCTAGGGCCGGGGATTTAGCTCAGTGGTTCATTAGCTGCCTGCCTTGAAAGCACAAAGACCGTAGTTCGATCCCCAGTACCAAACACCCCCCCCCCCGCAAAAAACCTTAAAAGCCTAGAAAAGCAGGGATAGTAAAGAGGACACAACTGGGTCTTTTATCTCAGAGCTGTGCAATCCTAGTAAAATGGTCTAAGGTCAGTTTCCTTTATAAAATGACTATTAAATACACCAATGTATAAGATGCTATGGAATTAAATATGTGAAATGGCTAGCAGAACGCATGGCACTCACCAGGTGCTTGATAATGTACTTCTCCACCATCCCTCCCCTAGTGAGCTGGCTCACTGTTACCAAGCTGTGGTTCTGACATACTGTTTAAAAAATGTTCACTGGATGATAGCACACACCAAAATCACTGTGGGTAAAACTATAACTACAAAAAGATATATGGCACTAAGAACGTCAATGTAGACTGATACCAGGTGTTGATCACATTAGACAAGCAGAAGGAAGAGCCTCACCAATTTATAACCTACCATCATGATTCAGCTGTACCTCTGATGCTGTAACAGCTTACGTACTGAAATTCTCAAACACAGCTTTATGCATACGTTTGTGTTCAAGTATACACTGAGTGGTCCAGTCCAGCTTCATTAGTTCCATGTTTACCAGATTTTCATCCCAAATCACCAAACAGCACTCCAAATTCCAAAACTTAAATAATGCCAGTTGACTCTGATGTTCCTGTATGAACATTCTCATAGCAGCAAATCAGCCGTGCTATTTAGATATGTATCCCTGGAGGTTCAGCCAGATCTAATTCAAGTTCCACAGGATTTCAGAGGTAAAGGCTCTGAGGAATTAAGTGGCTTTTCTAAGGGCACAGAACAATCTGTGCCAGAGGGGTCCAATATCAAACCTCTGATCCTAGTTTAGTGCTCTTTAAGTGTATCTATCTGCTTCATATACCCCTGCCTTCCAAAACTCAACAGATAAACATACCTAATTTTAAAGGGGAAACTAAAGAATGAATGGCTATATAATTTCTCTACCAACGCTACAAAAACACAATTGACTAACAAAGATGCAACTTTTTTTTGGGTGACACAGTGATCAAACTCAAGGCCTCTCACATGCTAGGTAAACACTATGTCAATGAGCTATATATACCTTCAGGCCCCATAAAATTGCAATTCAATCTCACTTGTAATTAATTTTTTTTTTTCTGTACCAGGGATTGAACTGCGGACCTTGCACTTGTGAGGCAGGCAGCAGAACCACTGAGCTAAATCCCCGGGCCCAACTCGTAATTTTAAAACAAAAGTGGAGCAGAACCTACAAAACTGCAATTCTACCTCATTTGTAATTTTAAAACAAAAATAAAGCAGAACATGAAAGATTGCCTACTAAACTTAGAAACAATAGTTATTAAGCAGAGTTAAGTACAGTACTACTTCCTGGATCACATAACTGTGGCCCATGTGGAGGGGGGCTTTAACAGAAATGAGTCACCTGCTTGCAAGAGCTGATCAAACATGTCCACAGAAGCTTTGACTTTTCTCAGCCTGATTCGTTCCTTCAGGGCAGCTTCACTTATATCTTCTATCTGGGGTTCAAAGTACTCAGGCATTAAACACTACGAAGACAAGATGTCCAATGTTACTACAAACAGGGAGAGGTGAGAGGATAACCAAACAGGACCAAACTTCTATTATCAACAACCCAAGATAAAATTTCACTGCTCCAATTCAGTTTTCTTGTACTACATATTATTCACCACCTTAACATGAAAAAACTCAAGTGTGAAACAAGAACTATTTAGCCATTTTCTTTGAAGGTACAAGTGTTTTCCCAGTAGTTTTATTTCTTTAACATCTTAACAAAAGATTCTCCAAAGTTTAAAAAACTTTTGAAAAATATACAGTTTCATATTATTTACATAACATACATGTAGTTTCCAGTATCATAGAAACATTGCTGTGTCTGAAATGCAGTGACTGTGGAAATACGTAACTCACAGCCTTTCAGAGCAAAGGCTAATGGACATGTCCTTTTACTTCAACTACTTTGTTACATGTGAACTCTTAGGCACCTGAGAGGTTGGAAGACTTCTGAACACAAATTTCAATACCTTCTATTTTGAGTCATCCTACTCATTTTCTATTTTTGTTTTGGTACCAGGGACTGAACTCAGGACCTTGTGCTTTCAAGGCAGGCGCAGTGCCACTGAGCTATATCCCCAGCCCTCTTACTCATTTTCAAACTTATTTTAAATCTCTTTATCATTTTACTTTATCCACAGCTAAGCTAACTTTATTCTCATTATTATAAATGATCAAATAGTAACCACACAAGCTGCTACTGTGTATACAGGCTTAAAAATCAAACATAAACATCTACAGCCAAGCTGTGAGGATATGTGTAGGATGCGTATTTAATCCCAACAAATTCACTACTGTTTTGTGAGCAATCTAAAGTCTACTTAGAGGTGTCTACTCTTCAGTTTCCATGCTGAGCTGTTTTTAAAAAACATATAAAAAAGACTGACTATAATTGGAATAGTTAACTTCTTATAAATTAATCAAGAAACCTAAGATTAAAAATTCTAAATTATAGTTTTACTTGTATTTTAAAAATACATTGGAAATTCTGCATATGCACATGATCAACTTCTCTTCAATGCACACTACTTTAATTCTGATGACACGGTTTGTTCTGACAAGTCCCTTTTCAAGCTGAACACGAAAACAGGGAACTCATGTAGATTTACACTGGCACTGCCGCCGCCGATGTCTATTGCTTTCTTGCTAATGGTAATGGGTGACTTTCATCTGTCTTTTATCACTTGAACAGTTTTCCGACCATAATGATAACTGTAAGCTGATGCAGCTGTGGTGAAAGCTGTAAAACACCACAGTATGTGAAGATAAATGCTGTCAGCATAACTGAAAACTGGAGCTGCCAAAGAAGCTGCCACCAAGTTTAACTGGACCGCTGTGTTCACCTTACTGATCAATGTTGGTTTTAATCTAGCAGTAGCATAGCAAGGATTGAAATACTTAGCTAGTGTTCGCGGTGTTAGGAGAGTTCGATACCTGACATAAAAAACAGTAGCAATCAACATTACGTCTCTTGAAATTATCATATAAGTAAGTGAAACTGGAATAAGATCTGCATAGGTCAAGCTAACATATAATACACTGATAAGTATTTTATCAGCAAGGGGATCAAGAGCACTTCCCAAAGCTGATTTCTGATTGGCCCAGTTTCGAGCAATAAATCCATCCAACAAACCAGTAAGTCCAGCTAAAGCAAAAACTGAGTGCAACATTAAAATCTTCAATAATCAAAAAGCCCAAAACTGGAGCCAAGACAATCCTTGTCATTGACAACATATTTGGAATTGTCCGTGGATTTTCATACGCGCTGGCAGCGCTCGCGGGGCCACACCGGCCGCCCAGGGCCTCCGCCGCGGCGCCCTCTGCCGCGGGATCCTCTGCCGCGGGATCCGGGGCCGCGGCCCCCGCGCCCAAGCCGACCCACACAGGGACCCCCACGGGCCGCGCGCCACGCGCCAGGTCAGCATAGCCCTGCAGGGACACGGGCGACGCGAGCTCAGCAGCGCGGGGCACAGGCCGTCCGCTTCTCCATGTTCCGCAGAAACACGCCTGCCGCCGCCTCCGTGCTGGCTCTTAGCCATTTTCAAACTTGATTAAGAACATTTAATCTGTATCCAAAGAGCCCATACTTCCAACTAAACTTCCCAGACTCGAGCTGACCTTACTTTTCCATGGGCTAAAAACCTATGTTCTCTCTTTAGTATCAATCTTGATTAAACATGTCAGAGTGCATCCACTTTTCAAAGGCAGAAAATTTTCATCCTGGATGGTTCTTTTCCTCTGAACATTCAATACCACCACAGTATATACCACTACAGTACCTCATTCACTAATTTTTCAAATTTACTTGTCAGTATGTTTGCAGTACATTCATCATAGGGAGCGGGCACATGTACATAACACATTTTGACTCTTTCTACTTCTCTTTCTTCTCCCCTCCCACCATTTCTTAGTTCTCTTCATTCACTAATTTACTCAAATATTTTTGAATGGGTACAACTTTATCCTAGGCATTGTTAGGCACCTGGGATACAGAGATGAAAGAAAGGTACTCTCTACCCTCAAAGTACTCCCAGTCTAAGGGAGAAATCAGATGAAGAAATCATCTGGGATTTACCAGGAGTAGCCTAATCGTAGTTTCTACAAGGTTCTGGTATGATTCCCTAGTACCGAAAAAAATTTACAATACAACATGAATGGCATCGTCCACCATAAAGGCAGGAGACCTTTGGACAACTTCAAACATGAGTGGCCTTGGAGCTAAACACAGGAAAGTACATGTCAAAAACATAAAAGGGGACAGGGCTGAACAACAAATGATCATTCCACAGTTGCTACTGTCCTAGTTCAGGGATTTAAAAAGAGAAAATGAGCAAGGAAACCTAAGAAAGACACACTGGGAAGGATGGGAAGGAGTGGACAGACAGCTAATAAAAGAGACTGAGGAGGCAAAGTGATAGAAACAAAAATCCACCAGTGTAGGGCCCAGAATCCAAACAGGGAAACAGGATAAAGAGCAATTAGATACAAAAGGATTTAAAAAGGTTAGTAAATGCTTTTTATTTAAAAAAAACACAAAAACAGGGATTTAGATCAGTGGTCCTGCCACCTGCCTAGCAAGTGCAAGGTCCCAAGCTCAATCCCCGGTACCACACACACACACAAAAAAAATAATAATTTTTTTTTTTCAGGCAGGATCTCACTATGTAGTTCAGGCTGGCCTTGAACTCATGGTGATCCTTCTGCCTCAGCCTCCCAAGTCCTGGGATTACAGGCTTGTGCCACCACACCTGGCTGATTCATCTAATTCAAATGGCTACTTAAATTTAACCATAAAAACTTGATCTAATTTACATTTATATGGGATTATGTGAAAAATGAAACTATTTCTTACCGGTATATGAGGTTCAGCTATGTCCTTCTGAAAGTATTTGAAATGTGAATTAATAATAAACTTTGCTGCATTTTCCCCGGACTTCTTTGCCAATAACAATGAACGCTATTTAAAAAAAAAAAAAAAAGTTTAGATACAAATTGGCATTTACATGTAATTTCGGTTCAAGCAAGCTGAAAGTTACACCCTCAGTAAGAATTATTCTCACCCTCCAAAAAAGAAATGGAGCAAAGAATAGAATCTCAATAGAAATTAAATCACTGTACTTCACATAGCCAACTCTTCTACTGAGTATGACATAATTTCAGGTCATGTACAGCTCAAAATATGTAAAACAATACATGAACTGAATTGATTTTCTACAGTGTGAAAAAGCTCTAATATCAAAAGCCAAAACCAAAAACTCCAGAGACAATCTCTAAATCTTTCTGATAAAAGTAGTAAAGGATTCACAAAGTGTACCAATGTGTCATCATCTATAAACTTTTCAAAGGCTTTTTCAATTAAATTGTGTATGTACTCTCATACTCAAACCAGTAATAAAAAAAAATTATGCTAGAAAAGTTAATGAAAACACTCACAGATTCCACAGCAGATGCTGGTATGAGGTAAGGATCATCTTGAAATGCATAAGGGGCAGCTGTGGGATCCTATGGATAGAACAGACATCTTTTAAGCTATGTTTTTATTAAGATCTTATGAGTTTTGGTAATGATCACAAATTCTGTAAAATAGGTTTTAATTATGCATGTTACATTCAAGAACATGTAGATTTGTGTGTATGTATAAATATGAGAGAAAAAGACACAGAAGATATATTAATAGATATCAAACCGTTGTCCTGTAAGACTTGCCTATGATTAAGCACAAATAAACCAAAAACTAGTTGAAACTCCCACGGCTGATTCTTCAGATTTGAATCTGCTATCAGTGAGGACTACTGTTATTTTCAACTCTAGGTAAGGAGACTCTGAATTAATCCTGGCACCAGTTTCCTAGTAAAGATTTCCTTTAAAGCTGGCCATTGTCCATCCATGCTCAACTTCATCTAAGAGTCACTCCTAAAAACAGGAAATATTGGGCCCTCTCAGGTGTGAAAAGCAACTGTTCCTCCAGTGACCTGTTGCTCAAAGTTCTATACTTCTTAAAACTGTTTCAGCTGGGAGCGGTGGCACATGTTGAGGCATGAGGATCGAAAGCTCAAGCCCAACCTGGGCAACTTAGTGAGAACCTCACTTAAAATAAACAAACAACAAATTTTTCCCTTACCTTTGGCAAAATCAACTCAGCAGTACAACTGATCCACAATTACTTCTTCTGTCTCCTTAGCCTGACATGGCTACCTGGACCCCCTGGGACCTTTGCTCCATACTAAGAACTCATTTATATCCTGAATTTCTTGACTGTGCCCTTGATGTCTTTGTTTTACTGACTTGGGAGTCTCCTGAGGCCAGAGCTTCCCTGAAGCTCTCAAGGGAAAGCTGATCATAACGAGGGGGCCTGGAGGCAATTTATTTTTCACTTGTACTAGTTTTCTGCAGCCACTTTCATAATCTTTATCACTTAGTTGAGGCTCATTTCATCTGGCTGTATCACTTGCTCTCAAGATGTAGCAGGTAAGTAGAAGTGAGCCAGACAAAGCAGTTCTAGGTTAACTGCCCTGGATTACTCCTTTACTGTTCTCAACCTATAGCCTAAGTCTGGGCCTGATCTTTAGCATTACTGTTATTTAATAAGACAACTGCTTGAGCCTCTACTTTTGGTGACATGCTCACCTCCTTCTAACTTACTACACTCATTCTTCCTATCAGTCTCCTAATTTTTCTTCTAAATCTTCTATGGGCTCTGAGAAACACCTTCTCCAGTCTGGCCCAATAGCTCAGACACTTCAAAATGAACTTCCCTGACATTGGGAGAGCCTACCTGCAGTCATTGTCTCAGTGAACTGCAGAAACCCTCTTTCTTATGTTATTTCCTTCAACTAACCAGTCATCAGGTTCAGCCAATTCTAGCTCCTTAATACTCTCCACCTACTCTACTCTCTCCTACTGCAATAATCACTGCTCATTTATTCATTCACCATTAAATTCCTCCTATGTGCCAGCCATTATTCTTGTTACCAGAGACAACAAAAATCTTTACTCCTTCACAGAGCTTACAACAGTAGTGGAAAACGTTTACAAAATAAGTACTATAGAGATTAGGTAACAATATATGTGTATATCTAAAGAATCTGCCTGCTGAGAAATAGCAGGGAAGCCAGTGTGGCTAGAGCAGAATAAGCAAGGGACACAGGAGTGGATATGGTCAAAAGAAGTGATGGGGGCACAGATCATGTATGCTCTAGGAGCCCTGGTAGGGGTACTTCAGTTTTCATTCTAGTTACAGGAACAAGAAATCACTCCTGAATTGAGAATGGTCTGTAGGAGGCTGAAGGAGAGGACAGACACTGTTACAGTAGTCAACAATAAAGATATATGGGGCTGGGGATTTAGCTCAGTGGTTCTGCCACTTGCCTCGCAAGCACAAGGTCCCGAGTTCAATGCCCAGTATCAAAAAAAAAAGATATATGAACATTAAATGTGTTATTACCTGAGTTAACAACTAAAACCAAAATCCTACTTACCCTGTTTACGGTGGATGCAAGTGCCTGAAGAACAGCCACTTTATCCCTAGGAATAACAATCACAAGTTAATCTTCTCAGGGATCTTCATACTCACAAAGTGAATAGGCAATTCTACTTTCATAATGTCTCAGCTAGTGACAGCTCAGGGCTGGCCTTCAGCTGGTACTTTATCTCTCAGGCCCACTAGACTAATAACAAGTTAGGAAGTGAGAAGTGTCTGGTTCATTTGCCTGAAAGTGGTTAGTACTCGCTTGTGTGTCTGTCTACTTTGCCTGCACTCTCTGGCTTGGTCCTTAATATCATCACCCAGGGCTAGTGATTCTTGCTCTCACTTCATACAACTATCTTGCTGACCTCCTCCTATCCACTTTCCTACACACTCTTTCTGCAGGTTTCTGGACTACTCTTGCCTTTACTATCCAAATTAGAGACACTTAACTCAGGCATAGATGAGAATTAAACAACAGGCTCCACTCTGGACCTATTGAATCAGAGCCTCCAGGACCCATGAAAGACTATCACATGCATCTTTCCTGAATTCTCAAAGACTCTAGTACATCCTCCTGGTGTGGAGCCCTTCAACCATATATAACCCAGTGGCAAGAACTGCAGGTCAGAACTGTACTGACCTTTTGTCACTGAACCAAAAAGTTTCAGAGCATAAATGGCAATTGAGGTATCTGGTTTAAAATCTATTTTTACTTCTTTGTGAGGTTTAATGTGTTGCATTTTCAAGACAGTTATAACTCTTACAAAATTAGCGTTATCTCCCTAACATAATAAACAAATGCCAGTGAAAAACTGAAATATTACTTACTAGTTCTCTTTTTTAAAAAACGTTATTTTAAAAAAGTAATAACAATGAATATACTATCTTTAAAAAACCTAGGCTTAAAGGGTTAAGCTAAAGTATCAGGTGTCATCCTGTGACCTGACTCTAATGACTTTGGTATTTGTATTTCCAGATCTTTTAACGGTATTTTTTCACACACATTTCACCATGAAAAATAGTGTCACTCTGAATGTTTATATAAGTCTGACTATACCATCAATGTCACTACACATAAATCTAAGTAATTCATCTATCTATATGTTACACTGTAAAAATCATTTATTTTTTTACTGCTCACTCATGGATGAGCATTTAGGCTGTTTTAAATTACTATTCCCAAATCATGAAGAACATTTTCATTCACGTCTTTTTGGGTTTATATGCAAGTGTTCCTCCTAAGTAGCTAAGCAATAAGCATGTACAGAGTTTTAACAATTTAATGCCCCAGTAACAATATTTAAGCCACTCAACATCTTCTTCTTGCTAATCTGGTAGTCTTTAATTTGCATTTTTTTAATCCAATGCCTTATGTACTGACCAAAATTGGGCTGCCCATTTCTCTAAAATAACTATACACAATTTAGATTTACTGAATCAAAACACTGCCTTTTTCATGTTATATTTGTATAAGAAAATTCACAATGACTACTGACAAGCTACTGAAGTCTTTTATGGTACCTGTGTGATCTAGGAAACCAGAACCTTAAAAAATGCTTGTTCTGGACTGGGGATTTAGCTCAGTGGTGCCGCTGCCTGTCCTGCAAGTGCAAGATCTTGAGTTATAGACCCTATACCAAAAAAAAAAAAAAACCATCGAAAAAATGCTTGTTCTAAGCCAGGTGTGGTGGTGCACACCTATAATCACAGCACTGAGAAGCCTAGGGATGAGGTTTGAGCCCAGTCTAAGCAATTTTTGAGACCTAGTTTCAAAAAAAGTAAAATATGTTAAAAGGGCTAGGGATTTATAGCTCAGTGCAGAAGCCCTGAGTACTGGAGGGGAAAAAAAAAAAGTTTGATGTCTAAAATAAAGCAAGAGGAATTATAGGTGACAAGACTTCTTCCATGTCTGAAAGCAAAGATTCCTTACTTTGGTAATAAGAGGCACTGTATTAGGGATCAACACACTTTTTTTGGTAAAGGGACAGATAATAGTTTGCACTTAGGAGTTACAACCCTAATGAAATATTAAATATTAAAAGTAGGGCAACCTAACAATTCAATTCTAAACTAAATGTGTATGTATACCTTATATAAAAATAGATAAGGTTATACCCCAAAACTTAAAAAGTAATAGCTACAATCAAGCTCTATGTGATACATACTGTTCAAAATGCTGATATAGTCCTTTGAGGTGGGTACTATCATTATCCAAACTTTACATTATGGCAAAGAAGCTAAGTGATTTACTGCTGAGTAGTGGAACTGTCAGTAATTTTATTTCCTTTCATGTTACATTTACCCCATCTTCTCTTTAGTAATAATCAAAAAAATTTTTTAAATGAACATGCGTCTTCAGGTTATACTTGGAATTCTAAGACTTGACTTTTATTTAAGGGGCCTTTAAGTATTCAATAAAACCATACTATAAAGTACTTCAATGAGGTTTTACTTCTTACATATACAACAAGTGTTGACTAAAAGAGATAAGGCAATTTGTTCAAGGAGCTATCCAATGAGTGAAAAGCTAAAATTTGAGGTCCACATCATTTTTTTTTTGGAGATAAGGTCTTGCTATGTAGTTCAAGCTGGCCTCAAATGAAGTGATCCTCCTGTCTCAGCCTCCCAAGTGCTGGGATTACAGGCGTGCACCACCATGTCTTTTAAGTAAATCTTACTCCTCTTATATGCTCCACATTCCTCCTTTATGCCTTTGAAACCCCCCAGCATCCCTCTCTTTCCATTCCTCTTCCTGTCACTGATTCCTGCTGATCTGACCTCTGTGTTTTACTCAATAAGCATGCAAACCTTGCTGAATGAATACCCATCAAATACTCACCAAGTTTTCTTTTTTGGAATGACTATTTCTTCAATTCCTTAACGAGAAAAAACAAATCAGCTTCCTAATATTACTACTACAAACAATGTCTTGATAAAAAAAGTGGAACTATTTCAATACTTAATGTACCTGTTATGTCAGTTCCTTCAACCTTTGGGCAAGCTGTATTTCCAGAATCAACTCTGCAAAAAATGAAAGCTTTAGCTAATACTCATTAGTGGAGTTACCAGCTCACCTCCACTCACATGCATTTTGAGACCAAAGGTTCCAATTACCATGGATCAAACAGATTAAATAACTCAGGTCGATCTGAGAGGATACAGCCTAAACAGCATGTTCAATATTACTGTTCCTGCTCTTACATGCATAATGCCCTGACAGTAAAGACCAGATTCACTTCACCTCTGGTTTTTATTTCACATCCTTCAATAATTAGGAATGCATCAAATATAAAATTTTTACTTGGAATTGCTATTATTTTCCTAAAGGCTCAAGTACGAAAAACTTTGTAGAATTACTGGCCAACAAATGAGTTTTACAATATTCTGATGACACTAAAAATAGTCAGGGACACTGAGATAATGGGTACAATTAATACTACCTTGTGTATTCCCTTGGTAAACGGCATCAGTACAATTCAAAAAACAGATGTCATTACACCAAAAAATACTTCCTGCACTACATTTGGTCTCAGGCATCATTTTAAAACAATAATACTATTCTCTTCCAAGGTTATTTCAGAAAGGGATCAACTCTTACATATCATGCTATGTGTTTCTTGTAACATCAGGACAGAAAGCACCATTGTCTTGAGAATAAAAGCTGAGGGATGTTGCTGTCAGGCAAAGAAAATGGGTAAATGTCAACACTAAACACAACCAGGAACAAGGAGACTGGAAATTAACTGCATAAAGGATTCTGCAGCCAGACATGGTGCATGCCTGTAATCCCAGCACTTGGGAGGCTGAGGCAGGAGGATCGCCACAAGTTTGAGGCCAGCCAAACTAAATGAGACTTGCTGACTCAAAAATAAAAAAGGCTTCTGCAATTATCAGGTGAAGTGTTTTCTCAAGAAGAACTGAAAATACATATAAAATATTGTAAACTATGTATCTTATTTATTCCTCACAATTTTTTCACATGGTTATCCACTCAGACTATTTGTCTATTAATCATCCAGCTGGGGGAAAGGCAGACCTTGACTCTAAAATCAGGTTTTCCTTGGGCTGGGAGTTTAGCTCAGTGGCAGAGTGTGTAATTCACATGCAGGAGGCCCTGGGTTCAATCCCCAGCAACAAAACTTTTATATAAATAAAACAAAAGCTGGGTACGGTAGCACACACTTGTAGTCCCAATACTCTAGGAGGCTATCAAGTTTAACTCAACCTGGGTAGGAGACCCTGTCTTGGAATAAAAAAATTTAAAAGAGGCTGGGGATGTAGCTCATTGCACAAGCCATGAGTTCAATCCTCAGAAGTCAAAAAGTAAAAATACAAGTAAACTTAAAAAATAAGGTTTTCCTCAAGTCTTAAAAAAAAAAAAAAAAACTACACGGTTGCTCTCACATTTTCACATGGACACAGAAGTAATAAAAATAACATACATAGGTGATACATGTTCCAAGCTGTAACTACCACAGATTCAAAAGACGTGTGTGTGGGGTCTTCCGCTTTTCTGAGAATCTGATCATTTACTTGACCCAGATTCACCACAACATCCGTCACCGACATTCAAGGGCTGCCTTACATTTGGGAAAAATCTATGACTCTTCCTCGTTCTTCCTCGTTGGGTTAAAATGAGCAAGGGCGGATTTTTTTAAAATGGAATTGGTATTAATCACATTCATTAGAACGTAAGCTTCGTGAGAGCAGGGTCCTTGTTTTGCGAGCAATTCTAACTTAAAGGTATTGTAAATAACTAGCACACCTCCCTAAAGAATACACGCTTTTTTGTCCTTCTTTGTATTTCAAGTCACTGATTCCGCGTGCTCACCCTCAGGAACACGCGGCCGTGAGAATTCGCATGCGCACACCGTAATAAGCCTCTTAAATCCGTAGTTTTCAAGGTAACATAGGACTAAGTTCATCTTCGCGTCTCCCTTAAGGATTCCCCCAAACTTCTCTTACCTGCAACTGTGTGACCTTTCACACACACCTACCCGCCGACTCGCAAGTGGCAAGCGAAGCCCGCTGCGGACCCGCAGCCAGCAAGCAGAGCGTACAACTGCCATCTTTCAATTCTTCGCAGAGCATGTTGGGAAGGCACACCCTCGACCTTTAGGGTCGTTGAGGGAAGAGGGGAAAAGTGGGCGAGGAACATGTAGCTAGAAATGGGAGGTTTCTACCTCGGTGTTGGAAAGACTGTCGCAGCAGTTAAAGACCCAATACTCCTAATTTATTTTGAAGAAATTTTCTCAAACTATTATTTTAATGTCTCATATATCTTTAAATATTTTCGAAATGAAAGGGAGTAAAAATCCTGAAAAAATATTTTTCTCCCCCCACACAAGTGATTTCGTCCAGCGTTGCCCTTGCGCAGGCGCAGTTTGAATCACATGTTGGTTCCTGGGTTGAGGTTTAGTTGCAAATTCGCCGGTGGTGGCTGGAGCATCTTCTTCTGAGTATCGGATCTCAAAACGGACCTGGAGGATGTTGGGCTCCAAGAACATGCCCTGGCGGCGGCTGCAGGGCATTTCCTTCGGAATGTATTCGGCTGAAGAGCTCAAGTAAGGAGTTGGTGGGAGGGGTGGGGATTTAGTTCAGTGGTTTCGCAGCCTGCTGCGCGAGCGCAAGGACCCGAGTACGATCCCCAGTACCAAAACAAACAAACAAACAAAAACACAAAGGACTTGGTAGGAAGCGTGGAGATCCCTAGTCTTGAGGGGGGCGCCATGAACTACTATTCTCAGAAGGCCTTGCCGCTTATCGGCGGAGGGCATGGTTATCCTACGCATGTCCCCGACGTGGTCCGCACTTCCGGCGACGATCCTCTGCCGGCGTGTCCTGCCTCTAGTACTGCACGGGGGCCAGGGCCGCCCCGCAGTACTGCGTTATCACCCGCTCGTCTCCTTCTTAATTAGCCAGCATTTGTGAAATTAGTGTCTTACACGCGGTCATTGAAGCGTAGTTTCTTCTTGTCTGTACTTTGTCTCAGTTCAATCGATAGAGCCGGATCCCTGCTGTATTTTCCGTCTAATTACTAAATCACGAGAACTCTCTTTAATCCTCATTTTGATCTCGGTGCCATTTGACACTCTTCACCACACCCTCTTGAAACTACTGTCTCCCAGGATCTTACTTTCTACCATTTCGGGGACAAGTACTTTTTCCTTTCTCCTTCCCTCTTACCAGGCTACCAACACACAAATATTTATTGAACATCCGCTTTTTGCCAGATACTGAGTTGGGTGTTCACATATCGGGGAACATGGTCCGTGATCCTTGAGGTCCTATTCTATCTATTTTTATCCTAAATATTGTCTCTAGGGACTCATCATTTTTATGATTGATACACCGAAAGTTAAATCTTAAGGCCAAAATTCTTTTCCTGATTTCTAGGTGAATTTCCAATTACTTAGCTGTTTTCTGGACATCTTTACTTGAATTTCAGAGAGATCCTAAATTCATATTAAAAATTCAACACCCCCTCACACACACACACAAATTGAAGTGGAACTTGCCTTTCCAAAATGGTGTGTCTAGTCTAGTGTAAAATAGTCACTAGAAACGAGGAAATTCTGTCTAATTTTAAGCCTTGCTTTCCTAACATTTTTTTTTGGCTCTTGCTATGTGCCATATTTATGTTTTATACTTTATACCCTTTTTTTCACCCGTATTGCCAGTGCCTTAGAGCAAGCCCTTACTCCCCCCATACCTATCCAGTCCATCCTACACACTGCTGTCAAAATTAGTCTTCCAAAATGCATGTGTATTTATCCGTCACTTTTTTTTTTTTGAGACAGAGTCTCACTAATAGTTCAAGCTGGTCTTAAACTAACTATGATGTAGCCCAGGCTCACCTCAAACTCACAGTGAACCTCCTGCCTCACCCTCCCAAGTGCTGGGATCACAAGTGTGTGCCACCACGCCTAGCTTCATCTATCACTCTTAAAAGCCTCCAAAGTTTTTCTGTTTCCCTTGGATAAAGAATTCCTTCTTAGCATAGTTTATAAAGACTCCTATGATTAGGCCAATGATGGTTTAGCTATAACATCATCCCTGCTCTAGCTCTACTAAACAACTTGCATATTGCAGAAATTGCTATCATTTGAATATGTGGATCTTTCTTCAAGCTATTTCTTTTGCATGCAGTCCTTTCTGCCAGAGTGACCTACTTCCCTCTGTCCCCCACCAAATACATACACCTAAAGCCTCAGTTCCATGTCCCTCGTTTTCTGAGCTCTTTCTGTACCTAATACAATGTGCCTTAATTGCTTTTGTACCTGTTTATATTGTCTCTGTCCATTAGCCTTGAGGTTCCTATATGTCTTTTTCTTTTTTGTTTCTTCATGTCTGGTTGAATAAATGGATAAATAAACTCCCGAGCCACACATACCAAGTGTAACAGTGTACTATCATCACTAGCCATAAGTAGATAATTTTATCCAAAAGCAGAAATATTTTAGGTTGCTTAAATTTTTAAAAAGATAATCATAGTTTTCAAACAGGAAACAGCGTGGACAAATTTATATCCATCACAAACATTGTAGACCTTTTTTTGATCTAAGGTTGAGAAATTTAAATAATGTTCCTTTTATGTTGTTAGGCTGTAGTAACTTTCTCTCTCACTCAGAGTAAAAGCCCAGTGACCTCATCTTAATTCCAGTCACCATGGCCTCCTTGCTGACCCCAAACACACTGGCACACACCCACCTTGGGATGTTTGCATTGCCTGCTACTTCTTGTAAAGCCTTTGGTTGGATGATTGCAGGTCTTGCTCCTTTATCTCCTTTAGGCATTTTCTCAGCTGTCTCCTTAGTGACAGCTTCTCTGGTCACTGGTCCACATTATTCTTTCCCTGTCCTGCATTATTTTTCTCCACAGCAGTTTCTGCCATCTGAAGACTATATACCTAATTTAGTGTGTGTGTGGTGGGGGTGGGGAGGAGTGTTTTTCTTCTCTTACTCCAATGAAATGTAAAGTCTATAAGCATAGAAATCTTTTCTATTTCCCCAGCACCCAACTCTATCTGGCACATAGTAAGAAAGCAAGCATGCAATACATATATGTTGAGTGCATGAGTGGATAGGTGGAGAAGCTGCGTACTCAGCACTTGACACTGTGAATCCTTGCTACAACCATTTATGATGGTGGTCCTGGTTACAGGAAAAGAAATTCAAGTCCAGAGAATAAAATGTCTCTCTAGGAACTAGCAGAGGTCATCCTCAAACCCAAGTCTGTTGGTTTTAAACTGCATACCCTGTAGTAGAATCCTTATTGGTTACCCTTCCCCTCTTACAATAAATACTAAGAGGGACTTTCTCCTCTACCCCAGCTGAGGGAGACAGCAAGTTGTTCCAGGCACTATATTTTTTATATGTTATTTTCTAACACATTCACAATGGACCATAATTCATATGTTTTGCTGCCTGAAGCCTCTGATTTAAATGTGTTGCATTCCTGCCAGCTTAAGCCACTCCTGTGGTACGTGCACAGCTGTCCCATCAGATAGCATGGGGCAGTCCCATCTGGTGGTACAGGGTACACAATAGAATATTATTTAGCTCTAAAAAGCAAGAAAATTCTGATACATGCCATCTGGAACGTGGATGAACCTTGAGGACATTAGGTTGAGTGAAATAAGCCACTCACAGAAGTACAGTAATGTATGATCCCACTTGCATAAGGTACCTAGAGGGTTCAGATTAATTGAAACAGCAAAATGGTGGTTCCTGGTGGATGGGGAGAGAGGAATGAGAAATTAATTGTATAATGGGTATAGATTTCAGTTTTGTGAGATGGAAAGAGCCGTGGAGTTTGGTGATGGTGATGGTAGCACAATGTGAATGTACTTAATACCATTCAACTGTACTCTTAAAAATGATTAACATGCTAAGTTCTATATATATATTTAGTTATGATTTCAAAAGTTAAGGGGAAAAACAAGAAAGCTAAGTAGTTTAGTGTTATCCAGTTCAGGGTTGCAGGTGGACCTCATGTTTGTATGAAGAGACTACACGTAACATCAGATTAAAGTTTCTGATGAAATTTGCAACTATATAAATGAGAGCCACTGCAACAGATCTGCCTAAAGGTAGCCTGGGTTTCAGCCTGACCGTGCAATGTAGAGTGTCCTAGGTTAGAACAGCTTAGTCGTTGGTAGGCCATCATCACTTTATACTCAGTATATAGTTACCTTTACGGAGAACTTAACACTGTTTTTATGCTGGTTTCCAGTAGGATGTGAGATTGGGATGGTTTCTTTGTCCTTTATTTTCTAAATTGGAAAAGTTTTAAAAAAACAAAGTAGGCTTTGCAATAATACAATCATGTGTCATTTGGTGAAAAGGATGCATTCTAAGAAGTGCATCAAATGATTTCACCTTGTGAAATGTCATAGAGTGTATATACACAATCCTAGATGGCATAGCCTGCTACTCACCTAGGCTCTATGGTATGTATCTTTGAATATGCAGCCCATTTTTGACAGAAATTTCTAAAGGTAGTGCATGACTAGTTATGCAACTGTCCTTTAGGAGCCCCTGTTAAATTAAACATAGGGGGCCGGGAATGTAGCTCGGTGGTGCTGTGCCTGCCTGGCAAGTGCAAGGCCCAGAGTTTGATTCCCAGTACCAAAAAATAAAAACCATAAAATGTGATGAAACCTTTAATAAAGCAAATTCTGGTTCTTAAAATTTTGAATATCTATTAATTTTCTTGAATTTGGTATTTTGTACATCTCTTTCATTAAGCTGTTGGGGCTTTGAGTTAGGTCTGGTTTATGACCTGCTTTCCTCACATTCTGGTTGTGTCGCTTGGATTAAATCACCCAGCTACTCTAAGCCTTCTTTTCCTCCTCTGAAAAATACATGTAGTGGTACTTATCTCAGAGAGCTAAGACCAAGAGTACACTTGATCGTAGCCAAAAGGCCAAGAAGTAATTTCAAGACCAAGTAAATAATGCTGCTTGTAAAGCATTCAGTGTGTAGTACATGCTTAAGCCCTTTTTATAAAAAGTTGGCCAATGCACTTGGTGCAAATTTTGCTCTAGATTATTTTTGAAAATTTTGCCATTCGTATTTAACAATACTTACTGTCACAGTTTAGATCTAAAATGTGCCCCAGAA